TTCTCCTCCTGTTCAAATACAGCACCCATCTGGGATCACAGGGTCCCTCATGTTTCAATACGATACTTGATGCATGGCTCATGATACAGTATTATCACAATATGGCGATACTGTACATGAGATAATCGATACATTGTACGTGATACTGTTTGGCTACGTTCAGACTGCAGGGCTTAATGCTCAATAACTGGGAATAACTGGGAATGTGAACGACCTCGTAAAAAAATCGGATTTCACAAAAAAATCTGACTTTTTTGCGAGGTCGTTCACATTCCCAGTTAAATGCGACTTGTACGTGATCTCCAGTGTGAACTTTAAACACCCCAAAAGTGTCCACATGCGCATTTAAGGACATAACGACGTCTCACGCAGTGAATGTGCTCAGTGTTTATGGAAGTAGCCTAAACGCTGAGCTTGTCTCCCAAAATACAGTCCTTCATAAAATGGACAGGTTACACATTTGTTTGAGTCTTTAGTCTCCTTGTATTTGGCTCACAGGCTCTGTATTTTTTGTGGATATTGAAGCGTCCGGTTCCAGTATGACCCCTCCAATTTGGCCTGAATACAGCGATCCCCCCAAATATTAATAAACTCACTAACCTCGCTTTCCCTCCATTGACTAGACTCCAAGCCTGACTTGTAGGTGGGATGAATGTGACCTGACCGTTCAGACTGAAGTCGCATGTCAAAAGATCGTATGTGTATCGGTTTTAGGAGCACAGATCCAAGTGGCCTGGGTCACATTTGAAAAAATCAGATCTGTGTCATTCAGACTGTCATTAAAAGATCTAATACAGGTCGCGTAAGTGTGAAAAAATCGGATTTGGGTCACTTCAGGCTGCAGTCTGAACGTAGCTTTAGATATACTACTGTTTTCAAAGAACCAAATCCATTTTAGCAACAATATTTCTTTGTTAAACCACTTCTTGTGCTAAGTTAATTTGAAACACATCTATTTTAATAATCAAAACAGTGAAAATGTCAAGTGTATCGCATAAACAAGTTTCCTTCCATTAAATAAGCAACAAATTATTCATATACACTTTACTATGTGTTTCTTTTAGGGCTGTTGGTCTTTATTCATTTAGTCAATTTCTCGGTTGATGGTCTTAGTTTATCAAAATCAACAGCAGAAAGGAAAGTGTGTGAGTTATCTGAAGATTTGGTATTTTAAACTCATGATTCACAAGTTAAATCTGTCTTAAATACATTGTTTTCTAGTACTTCTTCTGTATAAATAGTTTTTGCGTGAACTTCCCCTGCAGGTGAAGTCTTGTAAGTTCAGTTTTGGTCATAGAGGCAAAGCAAGGCAAGTTTATTTGTATAGCACCAGGTCATTCAAAGTGCTTTACAGAATAAGAAATACATTATAAAATCACAATACAACAAATCAAACATAAATACTCAAAATAAAATTAAAAAGAGTGTGAGATATTACATGGGAGAGAAGAGAGAAATGAAAACCTTTTAGAGTTACATTATAGTTTTGAGAGCTTTTGCCCGTCTCCTTTTAGTCGACTAATCGATGAGCAGGACGTGTCTTTAGTTGAATCAGCCCTCGTTTATTTGCTCATGTTTACTGTTTATGTCAAATAAAAAGAAACTCTCGTGCTATATTTGCATGTTACATCTGCTCTGAAGTGGTTATTTCCTTTTTGGACTCGGTGCACTCTGCTGCTTCTAATTCAGGCTAATTATAGTGAACAGACTGATCGGTTATTTCCAGTGGTGGAAGCTAACGAAGTAATAAAGTAGTAAGTGTGCAAAGTATACATTTTAGGTCTCTGTACTAATACCTTCCCTTAAATGTAGTAAATGTAAAAAGTATCTGTACTTTCAACTTCTTTACACATTTTTGAACTGGACTGAACAAGTTACTATTGTTGGTATCTTTAATTTTCCTTACCATTGTTGGTATCCTTATGTATTATTGCAATTACAGTTATGTTACTAAACTATAACAGTGACTCTTTTTCCGCACTTGTAAATAGTTCATATAGTTTAATGTAAAATATCTGAAAAATCAAAAGAAAACTCACAGTGTTCGATTAGAAGAGGGAGGTGGGATTAAGTAAGTTTTCTTCTTCCCACTCCTTTTTGGGTCCAATTTTTTATTTATTTATTTTGTTATTCTGCTATGATTTCATTAATGTTTTATGTTCCATAAATTTCTTACTTGCCCAAAATAAATGCATAAATCAAAAAAAAAAAAAAACCCCCAAAAAACAAGTAAAAGGATTTTTTTTATTATTGTCTAAGACCTGCTGAAATGGCACGATGAGGGTTTATTTTTAACACATTTGTACTTTGAATGAACAAAAATATACAAATAAAACAAGCTTAAAATAAATATTGATTGAACTGTTTCAGCTGAACAAAATTCAACACAAAAATGTATCAAAATCACTGCATTTGAAGCTTTATTAAATCTCAAAATCTGCGCAAAATGCTTTTACTTTTTACTCTGGAAGTTCATTTAATACAGGTACTTTATTACTTTTACATAAATAGATTTTTTCACGTGATACTTTTACTTTTACAAGAGTATTTTTTTGCTCCTGTACTTTTACTTAAGTAACAAAACATTACATTAAATCCTTGAAGAGGATGGACGCTTTGACAAGACTCTCTCTATACACTTTGATATTTCCAGAGCGTACATTACATTAGACAGTTATAGCATTAGGAAGCATATGTTTCATGCCAAGACACGGGCTCTCTGCTCAAATTACCCGAGACATAAAAGCCTTGCAGATGTTCCAACAGTGTGTGTGCAGGGAGAGAAATGAGCGTTATGAGCGTCATGTGGTGAAATAGATGTGGAGAGGGCAGAGGGGCTGGACTGGCCTCTGGGAGACTCACAGCAGCCCACACACACAAGAGAAGCTCCACAAATATGTACAAGGAAACAATAAAACTGGTTCTGGGTGGACAGACCTGAGACGAGATACTGGGTTGTCAGTAGCAACGCAGTGTTATGGCGCATTGTGTAACTTTTCTGGTGGAGGGTCTGTCAAATTCTTTTCACCGCGGAGATGTTATTACTTTGTCTGGAATGTGTCACAGCCTTTGTGTCTTCATTGAGTGATATTAAACCTTTCTATCTACATCAGACATGTCAGACTCAGGCTCAGGGTCCAAATTTGGCCTGTGATATAATTATATTTGGCACCACTACTACTAATACTACTACTTTGATGAACTTGTATCTAAGAAGAGATGCCAAGTTTCTGCTTTGAACCCATGTTAATCAGAGCTAATTAGTCTAGCAAACTGAGCTCGGATGAATGTTTTCTTTATGATTTTTGACTGTTCAGAGTTGAAAGATTGGATTTTCATTGAAGCAAGTTGTTATTTTTGTTATCGTTGTTGTTGGCTTGTGAAAAAAAATAAAAAAAAAACATTTTAAAGGAGTTCAAAAGCTACAGATAGACTATAGAGACATTATTTATTTAAAAATGTGTTATTATTTTATATTATGCTTGTTCTGGAGTCAATGTTTAAGCAAAACTATTATTAAACATTTATTTTAATAAGAAAAGGTTTAACATTACATATCTCGAAAGATGAGAAAACATGCTGATTTGAAAATTTTCAGTAAATATTTTGTTTGTCCCACGACTTAGTCCCAGTTTTTAATTTTGGCCTTTTGTGAATTTGAGTTTGACACCTCTTATCTACATGGAGACCAAACCAGATCAAGTTACAGGTCAGATCTGTGGAGAGGCGACCCCTCTCACAGTCAGAATGCCTGTTTTTCTAGGTATTTTTGAGCTATAAAACCACCTGTAATTCAATAATTGTAGCGGTGTTTAATGTCATACTGTGGAACATTCCAATCAAGAGTAATGACATATCCATAGAAACAAGCAGGCGATGGACCCCCAACTAAAAAGTTACACAATACACCTTTAAACAGCCCATATTACACTATTTTCTGATCTGGTATAATGTTGTTTCCATCTCAAAACAGACCTGGAGTTTGTGTTTTGTTTCATTCACACATGTTTTACACACAAATCCTGCATATTTATTTACTTTTCTCAAGGTCATGTGGTGATACATGAAGTGCTCCACTGTGTTTTTAAACTCCACACACCTTCACTAGCCCTGGCATTACCAGTCTCTACTGAGCTACAGGTAAAAGGAGCTGTTAACTTGAAAACTACAGCTTCATCACATTACAAGGTGGAACAGAGCATTTTGAGTTTTGGAGACAGACCAAGGATTACTCAAACATGTGTGAATGAAATAAAACACAACTACAGGTTTGTTTTTCATGAGGTAGCAACATTATAACATGACTTAAAGCAGTGTTTCCCAAACTTTTTTTTCTGGGGACCCATATTTTAAAAGTTACAAACCTTCTTGACCCAAGTCAATAGACATTATTTGTAAATCACAAAATAAAGGTGGATTTGACCATTATTGAACATTAATGAGGATATTTTATTGTTGACTGAGTGATCGTGTCTCTGAACAATTTTTAAACATTTGAACCAACAATAAAAAGGATCCATAAGTCGCCTACTTGGACATTAAATGTGGCCCATTTCTTTTTCTTTTCAACATTCAATTAAACCAGCAATACTGGAACAAAATAGTCTATAAAATAATTACAAAGATGCGAAGTTATACAAAACATGTCATAACATTTCAACATTTCTAATTAGGTAGGTGGGGCTGTCTGTGTTTTTGTAGCACGTTTCAGTCCGGTTTGGAGGAGGAGAGCACATAGGCAGAACTGTGTATTTCAGACCTACATGCAGATCATGACAAGATGACCCAAAAGAAATCTCTTGCAACCCAGCTGAGGGTTGCGACCCAGTCTTTGGGAAACAATGGCTTAAAGTTCACAAGAGTCCATTTTGTGTAATATATGGACTTTAATAACTGGACTCTGGAATCTGGACTTCTATAGCAAAGCATGAAGTGAGTGATATTTCGTCTTTGTGTGGTCTGTCTTTCTATAATATATTTTTGTGTTATCTTTCTTCCAGGACGATGACCCTTGACCTCTTCCCCATGCTCCCTCTTCCCACTCCAGCCCTCTCCTGAGCCCTCCCTGCCCCCTGCCCCTGTTGCCGCGGTGATGCGCAGGTTCGTGTACTGTAAGGTGGTACTGACCACGTCTCTGGTGTGGGTGCTGGTGGACGTCTTCCTGCTGCTCTACTTCAGCGAGTGCAACAAATGTGACGAGAGGAAGGACCGCTCCCTGCTGCCCGCGCTCAGGGGTCAGTGCAAACTCTGTGTACACATTATAGATTCTATTCACTTGTTTTACTTTTGAGGGAGTGGATTTAAAGGGCCCATATTACGCTATTTCTGATCTGTGTTATAATGCTGTTTCCTCATCACGAACATACCTGCAGTTGTGTTTTCATTTGCACATTTAACTCACAAACCGTAAATATTTTGGCTTGAGTTCTTCTCTCAAACAGAAAACAGTCTGTTCCACATTGTGATGTGATGTTGTAATACAAGAAGTGCTCTACTGTGTTTTAAAACTCCATACACCTTCACTAGGATCATTTGGATAATTTCAGCCTTGGAATTGTTAATCTCTACTGAACAAAAGGTAAACTCTGGCTGTAGAAAAGCACTCAGAGAGCGCAGACCTCCGCCAAGGACTACCCCCATTTTTTATATAAATTGCGATAAAATCAGTCTTCTGGATCAGATCCGGATCAGCCTTTGGAATATGAAAGAGGATCCCATTGTCCATCCCTGAGTCAAATTTCATGGGGTTTGGTCAATAATTAACCGAGATATTGAGAAACAAAATTTTTGGCCCCATTTACCACAATGTTAACTAAAATTTCAAAGTGATCCAGAATCCAGGATTTCTTCCGAATCACCCCCAAAATGAAATCAGTTCTTCCTTTTCACATTTCCAACAAATCCTGAAAATTTCATCAAAATCGGTCCATAACTTTTTGAGTTATGTTGCTAACAGACAAACAAACAAACAAACAAACAACAAACAGACAAACGCCGGCAAAAACATAACCTCCTTGGCGGAGGTAAATATTACTTTTATTATATTATTTAGTATTTTGAGCTTTGGAGATATGGACAGACTAATAATAAAGGATTACGCAAACATGTGTGAATGAAACAAAACACAACTCCAGGTTTGTTTCTGATGAGATATTGACATTCTGGCATGACTTAACCTTCACATGAATCAATGCTGTGAAACATGGGACCTTTAAAATTGAGCTTTGGATTGTATTTTCACATCAATAGAGATTTTAAGATGCTAAATACTAAACACGGTGTTCATTCACCTCTACACTCTGACAATATTGTGATACATGTACCAGTAGTGACTAGGGATGTAATGATATCCAAATCTCTCGGTATGATATTATCACGATATCATAGACTGTATATATGAGTGGACATAGCTAACGCACTTGCTGCCATGTGCCAAATAGGAAGTTCGCCAGGAGGCTCTTCGGTCTCCTTCTGACTCTGGCTCCAATTGACTTACATTAGGATCTTGTCGAACGTCTCTCTGTAACTGCTGCACTGAGCCTCGTCAATTTGGTCTTAAAATGTTCGTATTAACCCACTCTACATGATCCAGATTTTTTTTGCTATTGTGTCCGTCAGAAAAGTCCTATTCATAACATAGAGCCTGGCTCCAGATTCGCTCCTGTAACCGTGAGCATCTCGAGTCTCATTTGAGCGGCGCTGAATGTTATGGGTGACGTCACATTAGTCCACTTTTATACAGTCTATGACCAATAGTGACTAGGGATGTAACAATATCCAAATCTCTCGGTACGATATTTATTATATTTTGGAAAGGCTGATATAATTGTAGATGGGACACTTTTTTGCATTTAAAATACCTTGACAAGAATTTGGTGTAAATTATTACCATCATAATCTGAAGATTTCAAGTAAAAAACATATTTCTTCATGTTGTCTGCGCTGAAATTAATCATGGGATATGTAGTTCTCCATGTTTATTGGCTGTTGCTACTATAAAACCATGTATTTAAGCAAAGGAACTTGTGATTCAGTATACTGTGACAGCCCACGATGTTATTGTGAGACTTTTGACGATACGATATCACAATATTTCAATTACTGATACATCCCTAGTAGTGACCCAGCAGCTTATTTGTATATTCCACCTTTTACATTGTTTTTTCTCATTTATCTATGGGGGTTTTGAAGTTCAGTCTGGAGCTCTGTTGGATAAGACTTGGCCGACTGCTTCAATGATACATTTGGATTTTAAACTGAGTTTATTTAGGCCACATTTTCTGTTATTCTGCCATTTCTGTATTCCATTTATTCATCTTGATCAGTATTGGAGAAAGGTAGATGGACTCGTCTCAAAAGCCCTTTTTGCTTCCTGCTTAAAAAAGTTGTTAAAGATTTTATTTGACCGTGCCGTTAAATGATTCATTCTGGCAGTAGATGAGGTGACGATTAAGTCTCTGCTTATGCGTCGATGTGAATTTAAAAGTGGAGCAGGTGCAGCTTGATGTGGAGCATATTGCTGCAGTTTGGCTACTCAGAAACTTCCACCAACTAAGGTTAACAAGGGTGATGTTACGCTGCGTTAAACCTGCGACTATGAAAAAATGTTCAAAAATAGGCCAGATAAATATAGATCTAACTACCTGAAAAACATGACTTCACACTTCTAGCTCTTTTGGCGCAGATGAAAACACATTTAGGATGATACAAAAAACAGATATTTACAGAATTGCTCCAGAGAATTATGCACAATTGACTTTTCAGAGCTTTTGACCATGTTTTAGCTGTTTCCCTTTCTTATTTACCCTCTTGATGTTGTATTTGGAGTGATTTGTGCATGTCTGAGTCTTCTTTTATCACTTATCACTTACTTACAGTCAGTGATATATACATAGGATTTGGCAGCATTTTGGTACGAATGCAAAAAATAAAGAATGTTAGCAGCTGTGCAGAAGCCCGTGCGTCTGTCTGCAGAGCGCTGAACTGGACGGTTTTCTGTGCAGTTTGCGGTTTGACCCATTTACGCCTCGCCCTCAACACATCCATAACACCGACTCTTTGGTGTGATTGAAGCCTTTATGGTGACGTCAGCTCCCACTGGGCAACACATTTTTCTAACGTGAAAATCCTCAGACCTGTGTCTTGTGTCGAAGGTTATAACTATATTAAAAAATCTGTATAGTTTTAGCTTTTAAGATAATTATTTTGGAATTGATTAATGGTTAACCACACTCCTAATTTCACTCATCTTTGTCACACAAGGCATGTTTTATGAGTAGTTTAGTTACTAGTATCAGTAGTGAAATAATATTATAGTTTAGTAATTTAGTCATTGAATCCATGTATCATTCATTTGTTTTTCAAAATAAAACCAAGTAAGAAAATGAAATAACAAGTATTTTCTTCATTATTTGTCTCCAAAACCAAAATGAAAAAACAGAGAAAGATTCATTTTTTCAGTTTTCAATTTTGTGTTTAAATGAATAAATGACAAAACGGATAACGGTTGGTTCCTGTTTCTGTGACTAAAACTGCGATGCTGGACTTTTGCACTGCATACGGACTAAGCCAGGACTAAAACAGGATTAAATCAGGTCTAAACCGGTCTGGTCCTGGTCTGGTCCCAGTCTGGTCCCAGTCTCAGTCCTGGTCTGGTCCTGACTAAACCAGAGCTGAACCAGGTCTAAACCAGGACTGAACTAGGAGTGTCGGGACGGGCCCGGAGGTGCACCCGTGTAGACTGTCGGGTGATCAGGAAACGGGGACCAGACCGGGACTGAGACCGGTTTAGACCTGGTTCAGTCCTGGTTCAGTCCCTATGCGGCACAAAAGTCCAGCATCGCAGTTCAAGTCACGGAAATGGGAAATGACCGTTATCCATTTTTTCATTTAAACACAAAATCGAAAACTGAAAAAAAAAAACACAAAAAAAACTGAATCGTTATCCATTTTTTCATTTTGATTTTGGAGACAGTTAATGAAGAAAATAGGTGTTTTTTCGTTTTCTTATTTTTGTTTTTATTTTGAAAAACGAATGAATGAATGATACACGGATTTCACTGTAACATAAGTTCTATAGAGGCGGTACGTATAATTGTGTTGGTGGTTTTCAGATTCAAGAATGTGATGACATCATACTCCCAAATGGGGGTCAAGAGGCAGTTTTTCCTGTTGATTTCATTGTACTTTACTATGAAATATCCAAATGGTAAATCCACAAACATGGAACCTGGTCATTTCTATCAGTGTCTAGACCCAAGAACTTATGGAGTGTGCAAACATGTGCTTGAGTCTCCCGGTTATGATCAAGTGTCCTGGTTTTGTGAGTGTCCATGTATAAACGGTATTGTGATTTCAGTATCCTGGACATGCCAGTGTCCCGGTTATGAGAAACCAGGATACTCTCACACTATCCTGATTTCTGACACTGGTGCTGAACTGAGCATGTGCAAACTAAAGTAACAAAAATTTTAAGAGCAGTTACGTTCCCAAAACGACTAGTAATATTTTATACTAACAAAATAAAGCAGTCTACTGTTTAATACAACCACTTTTTAACACCAGGCTCATCTCTGTGTAGGGATGTAACAATGACCGAAATATCGTGATATCGTATCGTCAAAAATCTCACAATAATACTGTGAACTGTCACAATATATTGAATCACAAGTTCCTTTCGTTTAATGCATTTTTTGTAGTAGCAATAACAAACATCGGGAACTACATATCCCATGATTCATTTCAGCGTAGACAACAAGAAGAAATATGTTTTTTACTTGAATTCTTGAGATTATAACAGTAATAACTCACACCAAATTCTTGTCAGGGTATTTTAAAAGCAAAAAAGTTTCCTATCCAAAATGTCACAATAAATGTCATACCGCGAGATGCATATCGTGATAATATCGTACCGAGAGATTTGGATATCGTTACACCCTTACCTTTGTGGTTTTTGCTGCTCTTGAACTGAACTAATGCTGTGTCACTTTATTGTATTTTTCAACTCTTAAAAAACCTGTGACAGAGCTCCACTATCTCATGTTCTTAGCTGAATATTTATCTTTCTTGTTGTTGTTAGAACTCTATTAAAAAGCCTGGAGTTAGGAAAGTTGGTCTATGTTTAGCTCCTTGCCATATGTGTGCCATAGTTACCATAGCAACCAGTCTAAATATCCGTGATCCTCTGATGGCGCATGAGCACAGGGACATACAGGGAGTCTCCTGGTTTCTTTGA